TCAGGTGGTCCTCTACACATAGCGAGCCTCTTTGCCAAGAAACAGAGAGAGAGAGAGAGAGAGAGAGAGAGAGAGAGAGAGAGAGAGAGAGAGAGAGAGAACACAACAACACTGGCACTGGCATTCTGTAGAAGTGGAAGATTTTGCTAAGATGGCTGCTGCTACCCTCTGTGTGGGTTGAGGGGAGACCCCTTGTAAAATAGAGGCAATATGCACAACAGCAAGCCCCCGTTGTCTCCTCTACTGAAGCGGGGTGGGGGTGGGGAGCCATGAATAGCACTTACCATCCTCTGTTTCCTGCCACACGATGCCTTCAAGGTTGACGCTGGTTCCAGGTTCACAGGGGCCCAAGCACTCAGGCTCTGTGGCGAGAGCCACATCACATGTGTTGACCCCAACAGATCGGGTGCGAACCATGATCTGCTCACAGGGAGATGAGATGTCATTACTGACTACTGGTACCAAAAGGTGCAGTGGCAGCACTGCTGGCGTGGAGACAGGGGACTCCATCTGTGGGGGAAGAGAAAGTAGCAGCTGAGTGCCAGAGAGCTCACACAGAGGAATACTCCCCAACCTAAAACTTTTTTAGTACTCAGGATCGAACCCAGAGCTCCTGCACTAAGCCATAGCCCCAATACTTTTTGTAAAAAAATTACTTTTATTTTGAGGCAAGTCCTTGCTAAGTCACTATGCTGCCCAGGCTGGGCTCAAACTTGTCATTCTCCTGCCTCAGCCTCCCAGAGCACTGGGAACACAGGTGTGTCACCACACTCAACTAAAGAAATACTTTTCTTGCACTGAATCTAATCCTACATCCTTTGCTGCTAAAATGCAGTGGCTTGAAATACAAAACTTTGGTCCTTTGAAGTCTAGCTCAAGATATTACAAATCTAGTGGTTTATATAAGAGCACCCTGTGCTAGGTGCAGCTTTCTTTCTTTTTCTTTTTTTGTATTTAGAACAGGGCAGACAGGGTGTACAGGGTCTCACTGTGTAGATCAGACTCATAGTGATCCTCTTGTTTACAGCCTCCCAAGTGCTGGGATTATATGCTCAGTCTCAATTGCCATCTCAGTGCACCCTGGGGGGCAGGGCTGGCACGGCAGGCCCGCGGATTGAACCCTTGGCCCCGGAATAGGCCTAAGAAGGTGCTTTAATTCACTGAGCTATTTGGCCGGCCCTTTTTATTTCTTATTAATGAGACTGCTCATAAACTGTGCTTGGCTAGAAGCACTAAAACAAAACAAAACAAATACAAAAGTTCTATTTTTTTTTTGGCGGAACTGGGGACTGAACTCAGGCCCCTGCACTTGCCAGGGAAGCGCTTATTCCACTGAGCCATCTCCCTGGCCCCAAAAGTTCTATTTTTTTCTTGTCTTATTTAAAAGTTCCTATTGGAAAAGAATCTGGGCCAGATTTCAACAGTTACAGAGTATGTGACCCAATAAGAAAGGAGTTTCTGGGGTGCATCCTGCTGCTGCTGCTATGCTGGCTGCCAGTGCAGTGTTTAATGACAGACACAGCCATGAGTACAGGCAAAGGCAGAGCAGGGAACCAGCCAGACTGAGGGTGCCTCGAACCCTAATGATCATAGGATCTTTAAAATCACTTTGGCAGAAGGAAATTTACTTAAAAGTTATATGAAAGCTGGAAGCAATCTGACAGTTTATAACCTTTAGAGATTGTAACAGTGCTTGGTTAATAAGAATGACATTTTATTTATTTGTGTGTGTGTGTGTGTGTGTGTGTGGCCAGCTCAGCCCACCAGGGGGCAGGGGCGGGCCAGCATGTGTGCTGGGGGATTGAACCACGGTCCCTGTGCTTTGCTAAGCTTGATCTAAGTAGGTGCTTTAGACCACTGAGCCATCTCACCAGCCCCAAGAATGACATTTTGGAGTGGGACTCTAACTTATCCTACTGTTAAGAGTCCTACTGTAAAATTTATCTGTAAGAAACATGAGGTACTGTTACCACCCAGAAGCCAACCCCCAGCAGCCCACAGCCGTCTCAAGATGAACTGATTATACATGCACAGATTAAAAACACCACTAGCAACCTACCTCTGAAACTAGAAATTCTCACATGAATACCCAATTACTTAGGTTCTAAGAAGAGTGAAACACACCTAGAGATAACACAGAAGGTGTAATGCAGTGGGTGATGATCCCCTAACTCTTTAAGTTCTAGCATTTATCAGACTGACCAAGCACCAGCTCTAAGGCTACAGTGCCCAAGCTCTATCTTGTGAACACAAAGGCACTCAATACACATCCTGACTGCTTTCCTCTGAAGGTGAACTATGAAACCAATCTGCATACAATGAGAGTTGACTGGGATTCTGTTCCCTTAAAAAAGGCTGTTCAGGGGCTGGGGACATGGCTCAGTAGAATAAGCGCTTGCCTGGCAAGCTCAAAGTCCTGAGTTCAATCCCCAGTACTGCAAACAAAACAAAACAAAACAAAACAAACAAACAAACAAACAAACACAACTAAAAAGGCTTTTCATAGATTAAATGTAGTCTTGAACAGAAACATTCAGAGATGGCTATACATGCATCCCCATTCCAAGCTGCTGAGCAGCTCTGCCATGGAACACTGGTTCCGGGATAATTTATTGCAATGGCCACCGCCACCGCTTGGCCTGCAATTGCCTCCTTCCTCACTATATTCACACCTTTCTAGAGGCTTCCGTTCTTTGCAGTTGGTTATGACTTCTCACACAGAAAGTCAACACTACTGCAGCTCAAGCTCAGTCCACGGTGCTCCTATGCTGATACTAACTACTGTCCTTTGAAGAGCTGCCAGAACACTATTCTTACCTGTTGACATGAAGCCAATCTCAATCTCAACCTCAATCTCAATCTATCTCTCTCTCTATCTCTCTCTCTCTCTCCCCCTCACAACTTCCCCAACTCTACCTTTTTAAAAAAATGAAATGGAAACAGAAGAATGTAAAACAAATCTTCTGTACTTCTGATAAAAGCCAAAAAAGGTTAGGATGGGTCTCTGAAAATCAAGAATTTATTTAAGTTGGTAACTCTCTACAGATGTGATATGCAGTTGAAAGACTCTTTAAAATTACCACGCACAGGGCTGGTGAGATGGCTCAGTGGTCTAAAGCACCTACTTAGAACAAGCTTAGCAAAGCACATGGACCGCGGTTCAATCCCCCAGCACCACATGCCAGCCAGTCCCACCCCTAGGTGGGCTGAGCTGGCCGCGCGCGCGCACACACACACACACACACACACACACACATATAAATAAAATAAATTTAAAAAAATAAAAAAAAAAATAAAATTACCACGCACAGATTTAAAGGTACAAACAACATGGAAAAACTAAACTCAAATCTCCCTAGTATTATAGGAAGTTAAGTTAGATAAAAATTCATATACATTTCAGGCTGTCAAGGAAGTTAGAAAAATAAAGACACCAGAATTGTGGCTGGAGGTGCATTTGAGAAAGGCCAGGGCTCAAGATAAAGATGCAGTGGCCATGCCTACGTGTCTCCCTAAGGGATAAGTAGCAACTTGGAATTGTACTTTAATTAGTGCAGCCTGTTCCAGTAAAATTCAGCTAGACACCAATCACCCAGGTGGGCAATCAGAGGATCCAGACCGATCCCCTCCCCAAAATGTTTTGTTCTTTCCATGTACTCTTGCTGTGTGACCTGCTTTTCTATTTGATCAATATTAGCTAAGTAGCTATACCTGTAATCCTATAGGTTGATGACAGTTTGACCCATGTTATACTCATGTTGTGACTTGCTGTATAAATTATCCCTGACAAAGTGGCAACCCACTGCAGGGACCTCTCCTGTCTCTTAGGAGCTACTCCTATTCCCCAATAAACCTCTTCTACTCTTTTTTTCCCCCATAATTTTATTGAGAAACAAATAGCAATGAGACAGTTTCAAACCAAATTGGTAGGACAGTTTCAATAATTAACACATTGCATACATTCTTCCTAGTGGTTAATTGCTGTACAAGATGCGGACATGATATCCTATTTACAAACACCATTAGAACAAATCCCTCTATTCATTAAGAGAATGTAACTATGTATCTGTCCTAACCACTTTAAATATACAGATACAAAATGGAAATTCATCTGTATCCCCCCCCTTTTTTGTTAAGTTCCATCATTTAAATATTATAGGTGTGTAAACTCAGCAAAATATTCTAAAAGAGTTCAATAGTCCATAATAGTATTGGGTCTTCTGCTTCACTGGCAATGTCAGAAATTGTTGATCTGAGTCCCCTACAGCTCAACATAACAGCATGGCTTTACTTCTTATACTTCATTTTTATACTTTTCTGCTGGATGGTTAAGACCAAGGTAAAGCAGGACCTATGGAACAAGAGTTGTAGCTTTTGGGTCTGATAAGGTCAGTGAAATCCCCTCAGGATTTATCCTGAGATCCTGTACCTCAGATTGTAGAACCTTTGTCAGTGTCAGCCATGTGGATGAGTCACCGCCCTTGCTTGGCCAACGTGCTCTTTGTGAAAGCCTGAGAGAATGTTTTCTCTCCAGGTGACTTTCCTTAGGCACACTCTACATCATCGATCACTTTCCTCTTTGGCCCCATAATCTCCTTGATCTGAAGATTTGGGACACTACTGAGTTATGTGACGTTACAGTACAAGTTCTCATATGTCCTGAGTCTTAATTGACCTTGGAAGGCTAGAGCCAAAATGTTGGCTTTCCTTGCGGCCCTCCGTTTTCTCTAATTTTGGTCTGCAAACTTAGGTTGTTAACCATTCAGGAGACAAGCTTATTGTTATTACCATACAACCTAGGCTGTTAAGCTTAACCTCACTATCTGTCTGAATATCAAACATCTTAGGCATAATATGGAACAGGTATTTTTCATCAAGTATTGATATGTTGAATTTTAAGTCCCTATAGAATATGATGAAAAAACATTTAAAAATTAGAATATATTTTTAAAAATAGGCATAAAGAATTACACACTTTTTTTTTTTTGGTGGAACAGGGGATTGAACTCAGACCCTTGTGCTTGCCAGGGAAGTGCTTATTCTACTGAGCCATCTCCCCAGCTCCAAGAATTATATATTTCTTATGTTTACACATAAGTCCAAAAATCTAACCATATACAACCTTGAAGCAGGACAGTCCCACAATATTCCTTTTCCTGTCTCCTGCCTTCATTCACCACCCCCTTCTTTTTGAACAACCATCTACCCGAGAGACAGCACAGCAGCAACTGGCATGTCATGACAAAGCAGCCCATATTCAGAAGACCAGAATGACAGGCACTCCAAGCATGAAACTACTATTACAGATTATCATCTTCAGTGCAGTAGCTTAGTTCATAGGTATGAATATATATAGTTAGGGTGAGAATCTTTCCAATTAACTGCTAGATTCAAAAATCTTCTGCAGATTCTCAGGATCATTGCCTTGCCCATCTTCTACATATAACTGTATGGCTTGACATAGTCATGTTTCCTAGCTCTTCTCCTTTCCTTCTTTTGATTAGTTAGTC